GCTCCGTTTGCATCCTTTTAGTCGACATCTTCCCTTGGAAATTGCATACATACCACGTCAGAAATACGGTATATACATTGCGGGTCTCGGCGGAGTTACAACATTGATGGCTCATGTCAAATACGGTCCTTCTGGTCATCTAAACCACACTCACCGAGGAGGCTCACACGGACTGTCGATCACAGTGTATTAACAAAGTCCTTTTAGGCAAGTCATGCCACTCGGCAGCCATCTTGGCAACGCCTTTGGGCTGCTATTTCGGACTAATAAGACCAGGCTCCTATCTAAATGAATGAGTCAGAACTGCACTTTCACTGATCACCGGGACATTAAAACTGCATGTATTGAAAAAGCAATAAAATATTATAAAAATCGCTGAAAAAGTTTGATGACTTTGCCCCAAAATAAGGTTTAAAATGCCTTTTGCCCCACAGGTTATACTTTTACTACACATGCGCAAGGGTTCTCTCCCTCTCAGTCATGCGCGCGCTACATGGTTTGAAGCCCAGTATGTGCAAGCTCTTGCTCACTCGCTCTAGATTCCAGCTAGTTGAACTAACTAGTTATCAATGTGCGGGAGACTCACAGAACTTCTGGGAGACTTGGGATATCTGATATTTAGCAACTCACACATACACTGACTTTCAAATCTGCCGCCTTTTCAAACATCAATGTATGTCGCAAACCTCAAACCGCTGTCACAAACCTCAACTGTGCGCATGCATCAGTGGAACAGAAACCAGACGATAGGCTCAAATGTTTCCTGGCTTGACTGTTAAAAAGCAGACAATTGGCTTTCAAGCGGGAGGGGCAGGACATGTGCATACAACTGCCATCTTTGGTGTTACAGGTTCTCCCTGTGTGTATTGTCTTATGGGTGGTGATGGCGCAGTGAATAAGACTAACACAGTCTCATCCCAAAAAGTCATATAACTGACGTCTTGGGACGTCTTTTGACCATACGTCAATATCCGCCTTTTTAGGGCCCCCTTAAACGTCGGTAGATGGTGATCCCGGGCCGTCATACAACTGACGCTTTACCTTTATCGTCAGTTAGGTGACGGGTTAGGTTTAGGTCTGGGGTAGAGTTAGGATCCCATAACCTCATCTGCCGACGTTTAAGGGGGCCCTAAAAAGGCGAATATTGACGTATGGTCAAAAGACGTCCCAAAACGTCAGTTATATGACGTCTTGGGATGAGACCGGGTTGATAAGACACATGCCTTTGGTGTGAGAGACCTGGGTTCGAATCGACTGTGGGACACCAATGTGTCCCTGAGCAAGACACTTAACCCCTAGTTGCTCCAGAGGCGTGCGACCTCTGACATATAGCAATTGTAAGTCGCTTTGGACAAAAGCGTCAGCTAAATTAATACATTTAAATGTAATGTAAATGTTATGCAGCAGTGACCTGTATATCGCTTGTGTGGGGACCTTTGGTGTTATAAAAGGCACCATTAAATAAAATGCATTACTATTATTATTATTTTTAAATGTCATTGTGTCTGCTTGTGTTTTTTTAAACACAAAACGTGTAAGGGTCACAATTCTTTGTTGAACACAGATCAAATTTTTTTGCAATTTTGCAAAAGTCTATGGGGAAAATGCATTGCTTTTCAACAAAGAGTTGTGACCCTTCCACGTTTTGTCAATGAAGATAATCTTTACAAGTTAATCCAAAATGTATACATTTTGAAGCCTATGTAAAGTTTTTTTAAAAACACAAGCAGGCACAATAAAGTTTAAAAAAAAACCACAAGCAGGTTGTAATCAATGTGTTTTATGTCATTGATCAAAACGTGAAAATATTTGGAGGCTTTGTTCACCACAGAACTTATTTCAGGCAATTTAGCAAAAAGAGCGAAGGAACCGGCAGTGCTAAAATGCAAACTCACTTCCACGTTTTTTTTTTAAACTTTATTGTGTCTGCTTGTGTTTTTTAAACTTTATTTAGGCTTCAAAATGTATATTTTTTGTATTAACTTGTAAAGATTATCTTGATAGACAAAACGTCACAACTCTTTGTCCAGTCCAGTCCACAAGAATAAAAGAAAGTGCATATGAAGTTTATTCAGCATAGTGAAGCATCTCTTCCAATTACATCCATTAAAAAGAAAAGAAAAAAATGGCACTCTGTCTCCTTCCTTGCGTAGGCCTACAGCCGGTTTGCCTTCCAAGTGGCTGCTTTGATAAAATAAAAAAGCAGTCACTCAGCCATTCTCCACATAATGCAACATCCCCCCCCAGTGGGCAGTTAAGTGAACACATCACAGGTGAAATTGGCACATTAAAGGAGTAGTTCACGTAAAAAAAAAAAAAAAAAAACTTTTGCTTATAATTTACTCACCCCCATGTCATCAAAGATGTCCATGTCTTTCTTTCTTCAGTTGAAAAGAAATTAAGGTTTTTGATGAAAACATTCCAAGATTTTCTAAATAATGGACTTCAATGGGAGCCAAACGGTTCAAGGTCCAAATGAGAGTTTTAGTGCAGCTTCAAAGGGCTTTGAACTCAAGGCTTAAAGCTTACAGCCTCGACACAAACAAAGCTTACAGCAGGCAGACAGGAGCAATCGATCAGCAGAGCAGGATCAGCCTGTGCGTGGAGTGGAATGGCGAGCAAGCGAAGACACCTGAGCAGATCCTAGTACCGGCTGGTTGAAGCGAGTACATGAGAGGAAACTGGCTCCATTCGGAGATTGTATAATCTCACGAATGTTCTCGGTGTTGCCCAGCCTGCAGCTCTGCAGATGTCTGTTAGCGAGGTGTCATGCGCTAGAGCCCAAGAGGAAGCCACACTCCTCCTACACGGGCCTTCACACCAAGGGGCACGTTCGACCTTGCTGCTGGTATGCCAAATTAATGGTGTCCACTATCCAGTGAGACAACCTTTGCTTGGAGAGAGCCTTTCCCTTCAGCTTCCCACCATAACAGACAAAGAGCTGGTCAGAGGACCTGAAACACTGCGTTCTGTCTATGTAAGCACGGAGGGCGCGTGATTCCACACCGTTACCCTTAGCTCTCTCTGGCCACCAAAGTACCACCTCTCGTGGTAGATTGGGGTGTGGATAAGGGGAGGTCATCGAGTCTCGACCAAAGTGTTGTAATGGTCATGTTACCGCAGTAAGCATCCACAAATGCTGTCTTAGCATGATCTATGCCCAAACACAGAAGACAGTGATTGTGACTCGTATACCCCGTTTCCACCAAAGCTTTTGGAGAGCCGGTTCGGAGCCGGTGCCTGCGCGCGAACCAGTTCTTCGTGTTTTGACAGCCAAAGAACCGGTTCTCGGCCAGGAAAACTGGTTCCAAAGTATATGACCATAATATAGGGTCACAAAGCCAGGAGAAAGATTTGCAGAAACACGATGGAGTCCGCCATTGTAATTGTTATGCTTGAACTTGGTGCAAGAGTTTCTATTAAAAAAAAAAGAAAAGAAAATAATTTTTTTTTTATTGAAAACATTACAAGTAAAGAAGAAAACAGTCATTATATAGAACAAATAAATGGAAAGAAAAAAAGACACAAGGCAGGGGTACGTAACTAATCAGAAAAGATTACATATCAAAAGAAAAGATTAAAAGACTTAGCATAGATATTTCAATTGTTGAAATACATATATCTTCTTGGTACATGAGTTATATCCCAAAGTAGATAATCCCAAAGTAATGTTGAATTTGCAAGTGTTTCTAGCCAAGACATATGGCGACGTACACAGTGATGTAACGACGTCGTTCTCTGAGCGCTCTAGTCAGTGAAAAATCAAACAGGTTCTAAAAGGGTTTGTAAGTTGAACCAACTCCGAAACCAACTTTGAACCGGCACCAGTTCCGAACCAGTTCTTTTTTGGTGGAAAAGGGGTAGTAGTGACTACGGAAGGAAACAAGGGTTACACTGAAAAAGGTAAAATCAACAATGTCAAAATGTAAATGCTGAAACACGTTTCACCTGACAGGATGTTAATGGATTAGGCAGTTTGTTAAAATGATAGCATTGCTGTTGACTTACTGATAGCACTGTAGAGAAAATGCACTTTAAAGATTTGTTGTTAACTAGCCTGTAACAGTCAGCTCTTTATAACCAAGATGGCTCTAGTGTAAATCCTCATTAAATTTTGGATATAGGGTCTAAAAATCATATTAAAAATAAATATGCTTAGCCTCAATTGTTCATTGACCATAACAATGACAATCAGCATGTGACAAATGAAAGGGCTGCTCAATCATTCATCAGAATCAGAACATTCATTTGCCTTCTTGCTCCTTTGTCTCAGTCCATTTTAGACAGACAATCCATTTAAATGCAATTCAACTGTCCAAAAGGTTTTATATTTTTATATCCACAGCAGAAATTTTGGTGATTACAGTAATAAAACATATACACATGCAGAGGTGTACACAAAAATGATTGTAAATTACATACACTAATAAATAAATATATATATACATATAGTACAGTTTTAATACATGACATATTACATATTTATATATACATATTGAAGAGTTCAGATGCAAAAGACTCTAAATGCCATTTGAAATTTTTTTCTTTAATGATGATTTTTTTTATCAAACTTATATATTTAAGTTCAGTAATTTCACTTAAATGACAATGATAATTACCTATTAATTGTTATTTAAGTGAAATTACTGAACTTAAATATACAAGTTTGATAAAAATCTCATTAAAGAAGAAAATTTCAAATGGCATTTAGAGGCTTTTGCATCTGAACTCTTCATATATATATATACATACTGTATATATATAACAACTTGAAAGTGAGAATAACTAATACACCACAACAAATCATAAACATAGTCTGAACATATAATGTAAGAATTACCCAACATGTTTGTTCAATATGAAAGGATTTGATTTGATTTAAGTCTTAGGCCACTATTCATTACACCAAAGAGCAAAACACATAAATGTATATTTGAAAGGGGAAAACTTGTTTTAAACATTTTGGCCCAAATAATTATTTTTCCTGCATGGCTCCCCCAAAGGCTTAGAGATACATTGACACAATGAGACAAAGCATTGACTCTGTGACTCTTCTTTAAAGATAATTTTAACATTTCAAAACTTCTAAGATTTGCAACTATTGCAAATATGACACTGTGAAAAGGATCAGAATTGTATCAGATTTGTAGGATTTTTGATTTGTAATGGGTTATGGCATGGATTGTTGTGCTTTATCAGAACATGTAGAAATAATATAAAACATAATTGTCCTGTATCATTAAATACAAAATAAATCATAAATCAAAGCATTGCTGTTGGAAAACTTATTGGAAAACATCACTAGAACAGTAGAAAAAAAAGGCATGATAGGTTTATTTTTTTCTTTCTGCTATTTAAGCAAAGAAATTTCAAGCTTGGACAAAAACACAGTCAAGAGCAAAGGTTCATAAATGTGTTAGGCAGCATTAATGGGCTTGTATTTTATAAACACAAGTCGTTGCTTTATCGATGATGCATTACGCACAATAAAAAATAAATTAAATGTAAAAATACCATATTAACAATTTAATTAGCACACAATAAAAGAGGCGAACTACAAATCACAATTTATTCATCACACAGGAAAGGCTGTTTTCTTCAATATATTACCCTTTATATCCAAACATATAACATTTTTTGAAATCAAGCAGGCTGAAAATGATTTTGTATGTTGCTGTATTCCAACTCCCTAACTGATGTTTCCGGCCTTACCACAATCTCATGGAATTCCAACATGATGCTCATTTGTTTCAGTCAATTGAAAAAAACCCATTCATGCCTCAGAAACATAGATATGATAAACAATATCTACTTGCAAAAAGCTAAACTTTATCCATTATGCTTTGGGCTGGTCCTTATCAGAGTACGTAATTAGCATTTGCTCTTTGCAAAAAAGTAGCATACAAAGCGCAACACAAACACACAATCAAACCAGTCAGCACTAGGTAATCAGATACATACAGTACACTACAGGTATACATTTTTTTTCCTCTTCTGTTCTTGGCAGTAACAAACATTGTATCAAAATACATCCAATATTATAAACTGTGAAAAAGTGAAAAAGAATTTAAAACAAAATAGTACTAGTCCAAAATGTACAAGCGTAGAAAAAAAAAGCAACTGAATCCATCAGACGGAGGTCTCGGACTGTAGCTGTAATACAAACTTGTGGGACTTGGGGTGGACGTACTCCTCACTGAATTTGAGGTGAGGGATAGCTTTACTTGTGACCACTAAGCTGAAGTCAGACGATTTGAGCTGGAACTCAGAGCCGTGACGGAGGGGACTGGTGACAGACGCCTCGCTGACCAGCGTCCACTGCCGGGTCTGCCAGCACTCTCTCCCGTACTGCAGCGTGGGCCCAGCCATCAGATAGCTCTCCAGAAATGCCTAACAGAGAACAACAGCATCATTTCTGTTCAGTGATATCTGTTAGTACTGTACAGTGAGCTGATTTGATTAGAAGTTGATTAGAAATCGATGAGAATTTTCCCAAAACATCAGTAAAAAATGTTTGAGTAAATAATGAAATAGTGAGACAAAGAGATAGATAGTAATATACAGTAGAGACAGTTCAGTTTAATTGAAAAATAAAATACCAATCACAAGTGTAAAAAATGACGTACATACTCCAAATACAGTTATCGAATTTTTAAAAATGTATTGGTGAAATTGTGAGTAGAAATCATTTACATTTCTATTGAGTACATACACAAGAATGGGAAATATGATGAAAAACTAAATTCATGACAAAATCAAAGAAATTAAAAAAATATGAAAGTGTCCATATTCACCCCTAGTAAAAAATAATTCCCCTCATAGTTGTCATGAAGGGAAAAATTAGCTTTATATAGACCAAAACCACTTTTTGTACCAGTCAGTAAACGTATTTTTTTACTGTAATCATGGGGGGTCTATGGGATTGACTCTCTTTTGCAGCCTGTCTATAGCGGCCAGTCGAAGAATTGCAGTTTAAGTCACTTCTGTGTTGGCAATTAGCATATAGTTAAGATTGGCGGTATGGTTCTGTTCTGGGCCAGAACTCCCTCCTCTTATCCATGCAGCCTAGCATGGATAAGAGCAGGGAGAGCAGCAATAAACCCCTTAAGGGTAAACAAAACAGAACCAACAAAAATCTATTGCATATATCATTTATTGGCAAAATTTATTCTGATTCAAGGGGAATTAGAATGCCAAATCTTGACTGGTTGAGAGGAGGAGCTGGGGATGGAGGAGGGTGATTAGCTCCAAAGAAATGGGATAGCTGCTGATAATACTGAAGGAGTTTTTATATGTATACAGTGATAGGCGTCATATTCCTATAGGTAGACGTGGATCAGGAGAGTCAGCTGATGCGAGCTTGACTAACGTGACCTGCCAGAACTGACGCTATGCTTGATTTTCAAGAGAGAGACAGGAAGGTTGCCGCTTGCATAAAATAAATAGTATGCATTAAATATGTAAATATATATGCACTCACCTAAAGGATTATAAGGAACACCTGTTCAATTTCTCATTAATGCAATTATCTAATCAACCAATCACATGGCAGTTGCATCAATGCATTTAGGGATTGTGGTCCTGGTCAAGACAATCAAGACAATCTTAATTTTACATACATATTATTAAGGAAATGTATGTAAAATTAATTGGAAATCCCACAAACTTAAAAAAAAAAAAAAAAAAAAAAAAAATCCCACAAACTTACACAAACTAAATTATTTAATTTATATTTTTTGTATTAAAACCAGGCATGCAAAACTGGTTCATATAATAACACAGGGCAAGTAAAAATCCACAAATAGCTGAAAATATAGTACCTGGTGATTTTTATATGATTCATTCATAAATGATTTGGTGCTGAAGATAAACAGTCAACAGCTCAGTTATTTTCATACTACTGCTTTAATAAAAAAAAATTATATTTCTTTCCTCATCGGAGCTAAATATTTATTTTAAATGTGAGGTAACAATTAGTGCTCCAATGCACTAAGTGTATGTTGTTGTAACTTATAAAGTCATTAACATCTGCCCATTTACACAGATGTGAATGACGTAAAATCAATACAGTCCTCTCGCTCATATCGATTGTGCGCAAGTGCTCATGGCTCCTGTGACAGAAGTCTAGATTAATGTCACCCACTTTTGTGAGAAAGCGCGTCTGTGTATGTCTCACCTTTGGGGTCATGTTGTTTGTAATGCAGAACGCCAGGTGGGCCTGAATGCTGTCCATGCTGTGGCAGTGCTGCTGGCGGGTGGTGCGCAGGTATTTCTGCAGTGCTCGAGCCATGGATGGGAAGATGGCCTGTGCTGCCTCACGCGGATCCATCTCATCTCCCGGCGGCTTCTTTTTCTCCTCTTCCTGCAGCCGTCTAACATGCGTGAACGCCTCCTCTACGGCCACCACTAGCCTGGGAAACATTGCATATTAAGTTGCATTAACTCTACTTTAAATATCTTTACTGTATATCACAATGTAACTGCCTGCTCAGGTATCACTTTCAGAGTTGTTGTTCCACAAACTCCGGCACTCTATTGTTTCTCTTACCGTGCTTTGCGCTTTCGGACTCTACGATCATGCTCAGCTTCCTCGTAGTACAGCTCATTGTGGCTGGTGTCTCTTTGTCGAGCAGCAGCTGCTATTTTAGCTCGAGACTGAGCTGTTGCAGCATCACTTCCAGCACCTGAAAAGACAAAAATCAACATTATGAGAGAGAGAGAGAGAGAGAGAGAGAGAGAGAGAGAGAGAGAGAGAGAGATAACAGATGCAAGTACAATTCAATATACTAAAAAACGACATTGTTCCATATAACAAGAAAAACAGATACCTTTCACAAACTGACCCATTGCTAACCCTGTCAAGCTTTTATTATTTACCAAAAGTTATCCTTCTGATGCCATGCATATTCTTAGCAAACTTGGACATGCCTTGATACTGTTGCAGATTATCGTGTAAATTGTAATTTAACAGCTGTAATAATTAAAAAGCACTTTCATGAGGATAATATATTTTAAACAGTCTCAATGTTACACTAAATGAGGAAACAGTTTCTGTGTTTGACAATATTGATGACAGAAACAAACAAAAAATATGTCAGCAATGCTTTAGGATAACTTAAATCACCAATCTAATCACAATTGTTGTAGTTTTTTTTTCATCAGGCTAAGGCAGATCATATACACTACCATAAAAAGATTGGGGTCAGTGTGAAATTATTATTTTTATTCAGCAAGGAAGCATTAAATGTTCAAAAGTCACAGTCAAGACATTTATATTGTTACAAAAGATTTCTCTTTGAAATATGCATTTCTTTCTATTAATTAAAGACTAAAAACATCATGGTTTGTTCAAAACAGTTAAGCAACACAAATATTTACAACATAAGAAATAAGAAATGTTTCTTGAGCAGAAAATCATCATATAATAATAATGTGTAATGTGTAATGATGCTGAAAATTTAGATTTGCCTTTACAAAACATTTTTAAACATTTATTTTAAATTGAAATCTTTATTACTGTTAATAAAAATTATGATACTGCAACTTCTTTCAAAAACATAAAAAAAGTCCCCAAACTTTTTAAATGGGTGGTTAATCATGATTTCACTTTTCTAACTTTAGTTAGTGTGTAAGGTTGTTATTTGAGCATAAACAACATCTGCAAAGTTACAACACCCAAAGTTCAAAACAAAAGTACTGGTAGATATTTGCTTTTAAAGAAATCATTTTTTAAGGACTACAAAAAATGGCTGGTAGGAACTACAGAAGCTACCTCCCAGGTTAGTGACATCACTAACCCTACAACCCTACATAAAGCCCGCCTAGAACATGATTTATAGATTTTCATGACAGAATATGCAAATCAATGACTAGAAGATAGTTAACTTCATATCAGCTACATAAATTCTTCAACTAACCATTCCATCTTTGTCTGATTCTGGTTTGAACATAAAAGACATGTGTGTAAGGTAAAAGGACATGAGCTGTTAAAGCTCCGCCGTTTGTTCCGCGAGCAGCAGCTCTTTTGCATTTAAAGGGACAGACAGAAAAACGGTGCCCTGAAAAAGTGAAAATTTTAACATATAAAAATATCTGAGGGTTATTTTGAGCTAAAACTTCACATACACTCTCTGGGGACTCAAAGACTTATTTTACATCTTGTGAAAAGGGCATTACACCTGTACAATACTCTTTAACTGTATTCTATATCTACAGCAAAAAGCCCACTGACAGTTAAGTAAATCTTATTGTGGAATCAGGTTATGATGATTATACGTCATGCATATTAGCTGAGTGTGCATAGTAATGTGGTGAACAGAATAATTTATGCTGATTTATCCATATTCAGGTCACAGATATGGTTAATAATGCATGACAAGGGCAGCATGACTCTCCTCTGTAGTAGGGCAGGTCTGTGAACTCAATGAATCACCTCCAGAAATCACATATACTAAATCTTCCTCAGTGGATTTTTGTGAATAACATAAACACAAACACCAAGGATGACCATTACGAGAAATAAGATACAACAATAAGTATAACGACAGACACAAACAAGATAAGTGTATTCAGAAGGCTGGGGAAAAGGAGACGTGGATTTTTTTTTTAGGGGAGAATCTTTTTTCCTAGTGATGCATTATTAATACTCTGGCAATCCGTGCAAAGCACAAAAAGAGCTACGCACTGCTGTTTTTATATACGTGCACACTCACACTCATACACACACATTCCTGCCCTGGTTCGATAGCCACAGGCATGAAGAAGGCTTGAGTGCTTAAGGTGGTATCTTGATCCCAAGTATGCATCTCTGGATCATGGTGAGTGTATTTCTTGTGCTGACAGCAAATCATAAATGTCAAACAGTGGAGAGAGAGACTTGGTGTGTTTGAGATCTTGGGTGAGAAAGTAGTTATTTAAAAAAAATCATATTTTTAAAGCATAGTAAGTGCAGAGATGAGGGTCTTCTTCATGGTAACTGACATGAGACATGTAGAAGGATTTCTCAATGCATTTCTCGATTGTATTTTGGATGAGTATGTGACCTTGTGCACGGTGTACAATGACTGCATGCACAAGCAAATAACCAAGACATGTGGAGCACTTGACAATTCATTGTTTCTGTGAAAGGATTTTTGAATGCATTACATGGTCCGAACTTACAATCGAACAGATAGCTTTTCAGTTTGGCTTTAAACTCTGCAGAAAGAAACAATCACAGAAGATTTATTAGATGTTGGTGGCGATTTACACGGCCACATATCTGTATTAGAAGTGTGCATGAGTGTTTGTTTTTTAGTCCAAGTTCAAGACAATATTTTTGCTCAGAGGCTGCTCTTTCACACCTCAGGGGACTAAGTTCACACAACCAATTGTAGGATGTAGAGCCCGACCGATAAAGGATTTTGAAGGCCGATACCGATACAAATATTTTGGGGTTTTAAAATTCGATATTCCGATATATCGGCCGATATTTTATTTTTTTTCAGAAACGTGCAAAAAAACATTAACAGATTTCCCTAACATAGTTATTTGTAGTTATTAGTGAGTTTGAACTAAAATAATATGATAATGCATTTTAAAAAGAAACTTGTTTCTTTTATTGTCACAACAGAACAGAGAAACATCAAAATATATTAAAATTCTGATAAATAAAATAATAATTAGTCCCTACATTGCCTTATAAGCTACCTTATAATTACAATGTCAGCTTGCTTATCCTTAAATTATCCTTTTATCTTTAAATTCTTTCCATCAAGCTACATTAAACCATTTTCAATCATCAGTTGCTGCCTGCCGTCTAAAACCTGCTATTTAGCGATTCTAATCTAAATCCATAAAAGAGCGACAGTCAGCAACGCACACTTGGCGTCGTTGGATTTCACACGTGTAAAAGAAAAGCTAACTTTTATGCACAAGATACGTTTGATAGTTTTTCTCTATGTCTAAATGTTCACTCCTCGCAAGTCTAACTTACATTTTACAATGCAGGGACGGTAACTAGAGATATGCTAGTTATAAAAATAGTAATCATTACTTTATTTAGGCAGAAAAAGTTCATTGTGGTTTCCAAGCTCATTAATGTTAACGTTAGCGGTCTTCCACTAATGATAGTGAGCTAGCTTTGTGGTTAGCTAGTCTATGATGAGCCATAATTTAGCAATAGATAACGTCATACTGCAAATTGTAAAACATACATTTTCAATATAACAGACCAAGGAGAGATGATTGAAGAGTGTTTCGTCCATTTTTATTTTTGAAATATTCATTTATCGGCCATCATAACTGCCGATACCGATATTTTGGAAAATGCCTAATATCGGCCGGCCGATATATCGGTCTGGCTCTAGTAGGATGTGACCCTTTAAACGGTTGTCTATCTTGATCCCAAGCAAGTATCAACTTAGTCTCAAATGTTTCTATTAAAATTCCTCATGGGGGATACAAATAGATACAAATGAGACAATTATTGGCATGAGTGGTGAAGAGCAAAGGTTGTCATGTACAAAACTACAGAGCCCCTAAAATGACATGGTGAAGGAAAAAAAATATGAGATGGAGGAAAATATTTTTGTCAATGTTTTTGCATTCTCTTGCAAATGTTTTGCATTTCCTCACAAATACTTTCGTGTTCCACCGAGAAACTTTGCGTACGCTTGCAAAGAGCTCAAAAGGTTTTGCAGGCAAACACAAAGTTTCCCGGGGGAACGCAAAGGATTGGCAAGCAAACGCAAAACATTTGTGAGAGGACCCAATAGCATTGACTTAATTTCCCTCACATCTATTTTTTTCCCTGCATTCCGCAACCATGTCCTTTTAGGGGCTCCGTACAAAACAAATACGATTCTTTAAATATATAAAAATATTCACTTTAAAAATAAAAAAAGATAATCAAAATAGATTTTAGTTATAATGCTCTGTTATGTGTATACTGTGAATAATTCAGTAACACATTTAATTTGTTTTATTTGTTAACATTAGTTAGCTACATCAGATAACATTAATTAATAATGAACACTGCAGCATTTATTAACCTTAGTTCATGTTAATATCGACATTTACTAAAATTCTGTTAACAAGTTTATGCATTGTGAAATAACTTGAACCTATATTTTATTAACAAAGAATAATAAAGGGCTGTAAAATATATTGGTCATGTTAGTTCATGTTAGCTAATGCATTAATTCATGTTAATAAAATATATATTATTGAAACATGTACCAGTAATTCGTATGCATATTGATATACAAAGTCCAAAAAAGTTAATGTAATATGGATTAGGAATGTAATATAAATGTATTATGATGCAATGCATGCTTTTAAAATGGCATTTACATTTCATATGGATAGCATTTCTCAGATAATTTGATGTTGTAAGAACATGAGAATGTTTCATGTGGAAATAATAGACTTTCAATTTGCAATTTGTGACAGATTTTTACTAAAACTCTTAGGAGACATGTTGCATTACTAGAGTCTATAACTCAGAACAATAACCTGTGAAGCATGAGACATTGACTCTCATTGCTATCTAGGAGAAACATTTGATATATAAAGGACATCTCAATTTTGATGCCTTTCCTATAAGCATTCCAAAATGAATCATTCAGAATTTCTTGGTCAAGAGAACAATAAGCATCAAGTCAGAAAACAGAAAGTCATTCTGGACAGATAAACTCACCATCCACATTATAGACTTTCAGCCCAGCTAGATGTTTAGCTGCCCTGGACTTAGCAGCCGTCAGCAGGGCAGGGTTGTGAACTGAGAAATCCTTATAATAGTGTTCAAGAATTACCAGGGCTGCCCGCTGGATGCTACAGAGGAAGAGAGAGAGACAGACAAGATTGATCAATGTTGTAAGAAAAAAAAATGTTCATTGGTAATACGGATTTAGGTGTCTCTTAAAACACAGGAACAGACAGTTCAATAATATATTTCATTAAACAGACGTCAGATACTAATAGATTTCATTCTACTATTGTGTGTGTGCTGCCACTTGACTCTGCAGTAGCGCTGGATCAAAAATGTCCAACCAATGAAACAATGAGAGCAAGAACAAAGGAAAGCGTTGGGCAGGAGAGAGGAAGGGAGAGGGGAAGTAACGCAGGGCAAAGTAGGGAGTGTCTGTAATGGGGTGATTAATGGACCTTTTTCCCTTGGCCCAACCTCAACTCATTATTAATGCATTAAACAGTGCACCCCCACACACACAATTTTGTCTATACAGACAAGCACATATAATATCTAAGCAATAAAGCAGCTCAGCCATAAAATCAGTGCAATTACAGAGGCAAAACATTTTCTTTTCTTTGTTTCACATGTTAATATTCATAGTTGGTTTGCAGATTTGATGCAAAGAACACTATTACACATAAAGGGTCTTCAATAGTTCATGGGTTTAAATGAACAACCCACTTCTAAAAAGAAAATTCACTACAAAGGGATCCTTTGATCTGCTTAATTGTTTCTAAGCTCTTGGACACATATTTACATAGATAGTATTCTAAAGAGCTAGTTAACCATGTTAAACTTTTTGGCTCTGTATACATTTTTGGTTCTAATTAGAAACTTTATTTCGAAGTGTGACTAGTAAGTTCCTATTTATTTTGCGTTTTTGTATACTAATAGTAACTAAAGAGCATATAACAGAGCATATTGTAGTTATTTTATTCAATGTTTTGGTCATCAGCTGGCACCTGAGTTGTCCCATGTTGTAATGGTGAGTCTCTCCATCAGTGGAGCGTACGACACAGAGAGAAAAGCAGGGCTGCAGATGCCGGATCTCCAGCAGAACCACTGCCAGGTAATGGATAAACAGCAGAGCATCCACCAATGATACTGCAAACTGCACTATGCCGTGGTAGTTCTCTTCCTGTCAAAGTATAGAAACAAACCAAGGGGGTAAAAATGATTTTTTTAAATATAATTTAAATATACACAATTGCTTAAATACTTCAAAATAGTTCATTAGTTCACTTCCACATTTACATATTCAATAAAAAAAAATTCTGAACCTGTAAATACAGACCAACAATTAAATGCATTCTTTACATGTAAGATACAGTTGAGTGCAACACTCTCTTATTTTCCCCTGAGAGAAATCCGCTATTTATCTTTTTCACTTCCTCCTACAATGATGCAAAAATCGTCATTTTACGTCATTGTAGGAGGAAGTGTAAGAAGAGGGGATTTCTGTAAAGACTACAAGCACTAGATCTCAAGCTCTATAGGCGTGGCCTCCTAGGGCCGCGAAGCAAGTGCATTCTGGGAGTTGTTGTCTTTCATCCACATAAGCCAAAAAAAAGTTTCTGGCTTTTCTCAGTCTAGAAAGCTCCAAATCCAAAAATAATTTCACATTTCTTCTACATAAATTACCCATTTTAAATACATATTCATCTTTCCAGAGGTGGAATGACCCTTTAACCCGATTGATGATGAGGATAATAATACTAAGTAACCTTGAAGTCATTAGCCTAAATGCAAGTTATAATTGAAATGTGTAATTTCAGTGCCACTAGCACCATCAAATGGAATTACAAAAACAATGATCCAGGTGTACATATATAATTTCATGGTTTTGAACATGGCTCATCCAAAAATATATTATAGCTGGAACTAACAATATTACTAAAAGAAATGTCAAACAAATGCTATTCCAGAGATCTCAACATGTTTCTCTGGACTCTTTATGGTGCCCACACACATTTGCCCATACCTGTGAGTCCAAGATGCGCACTCCAAAGAACAGCCAATAGGAGAGCAGCAGGAGGAGCGTGAGCAACCCCAGCAGGGCGCGGAACACTGCTATCCGGGGCAGGGAGGCTCGTGTCGGTCGCACAAACAGTGCCCAGCCAGCCAGCAACAGAATGAGGAGCTTGAAAGCCAGTGAGAGAAACAGGCCCTCACAGGCAGTACCACAAGCCTGAAGGCGCTCCGACCACAGAACCTGGGGCAGCACCAGGAAGGACAGGGGGGTGACCAGGACCAGCAGGCCCAGGAGGAGGGTGAGGGCCAAAGGAAGGAAGCGTATACATTTCAATTTCTCTACTGGACCATCCGTGTCCTTCCCAAACCCAGCCAAGTCCTCTTGAGACAAGCTGTGGTCTGATGTTCCAGTGACCGCTGTGGTGGTCTCGCCCCAGTTGTCATCCTGTCAAGAGGTGGAAGAGGAACAGCATTGTATCATGCACATAAAAAATTCAACATAGTCCTAAAAGCCCCATTACCTTAGAGGCCTAACATCCAATCCCATCACTCAGGATCGATAATACAGAAAAAACAGATTTACAGCTTTTGATTTGCTCCCCTTTCCCTCCCTTTGTGAGATGACAAATCTACTTCACAGCTAATTTAGACAGACAGTGCGAAAGTATCTAGGTCTCCCTCATCAGCATATATTAATGGCAAATACCCAAAACTTACATACATCTACATATAAATGAGATTGAGAACTGAGAGACACACCAACAGCAATTGAGAACTTTCTAACAAAATGACGTCTGAGCCAGTGCAACTAGAATGTGAAATGCAGTGCAGATTAGAATTCCATTAAAGATTATTCTGCACTAAGGACAGTAATTCATCTGCAACTATTTATATATTTATTTATGGATTTGTTTGCTTATTTGTATGAATAGAGGCTGTATTTTGTATGATAATGTAGTTTAGCCAATTTAATCTGTATTGAGAAAGTTTTCATTTCATGTAAATGACAGCAATATTATTATCATAATAATAAGAGCCACAAAATACAGCCACTTGCTGCAAATATTGGGCCAACTATTGAATATATTCACTAAGTTCAATGCAAAGAGTTTAAGAAAAACACTGACGCAACTTTGCAACATGGCAAAATCTGTTCTTGAAGGACTCCACGTGAAACAAAAGAAGTCGACAACTAATAAACAGAATAGGGGTTACGCACATATACGACAAAAGAAAAACGGAGGGATTACTGGTAATTGAGAAGAGTAGTGACAAATTAAAAGTGAGTTGTTTACGCCTGATGGTTTCAGCTCATTTGACAATTAAAAAAAAAAAAGAAAGAAAAGAAATTTCCTTTCCGTTCTACAGAGTTTAGAGTTTGCAGCAATTTTTGTGCAAAAACAACTTTACGGGTGATCATCGGAAGTGAGGAAATGGCAGATGGAAAAAGGTGAAAGAAGCATATTGTGTTGTAAAAGGTGATGGAAACACAAACACAGATGCACATGAGATTTGATATTTAAACATCCAAAAGCGTTTGGCTAGCCCCAGAGGCAGCTACGGGTGTAAAAAACACATTTACACTTAAATTTGTAAGCACTGAAAACTTAACAAAGCATCTGCTACTATTATGTATCAATTCCAGAGTGAGTATTTCTCCTTTTGAAGAAGATGCAAAGAGGATTAACAGTGCTTCTTCTCAACATGTCGACAACATGAACTAAACTCTTCCAGAGTTTACTTTTATTAGAGTTTTTTTTTTTTTCTACATCTACAGTGTTTGAGGCCGGGTCAAAGCAGACATTGTTCACAGGCAGCCAATCATAGGCAGGCATTATGCGAATGTGTTACATTGTTTGTTATGCAAGTATGTAACAGGAAGTGAGACTGCATGGAATTCCTGACAACTCCAGAATTGATTCTTTCTTTTAGAAGACAAAAACTTTGTTTGTTTCTGCACTTTGATTATTAAAACTTTGCAGACATTTTACATTCACCTAAAGCTAAATTACACACTACATGAAAGGTAATATTTGAAAACGCACAATATAGGGACACTTTAAAGAAATCAGTTGAACCAGTTAAAGCATTGTTTATTATCAATGTAAATTACATTTGGGTTCTAAATTGGGACTTCATGAACTACATCTTGGCTGAAACAAACTGAACATTATTTATGATTTTTAAGTCTGATTTTCAAGTTTAAATAGTTAACGATTTGAGGGGGAATAAATGAGAGAATTTTCTTTTTGGTTAACACAAACAGAACATTTTTATTTATATTTTATTCAAGTATAATTCTATAAAAAATGAGGTCTTTGTGACCAGAGGGAAGGCTGTTGTACAGGACTGTGGTCTGATCTGTTCCATTTTGCCTACAGTCCATTGCTTTATGTGCTTCCCCCACTGAGACAGACAAAAGAAGCACACAACCCAGCTAATAGAGAGTGAGAGAGTGTGTGTGTGTGTGTGTGTGTGTGTTTGTGCACGCATTTTAGTGTTCTGCTTGACTCGTGTACAGCTCATTTCCCTGTCACGGAGCCACAGTCTGAGCTGTACCACAGAAAGAAAAGCAGGAAGAGAGGGAGTGGTAAACAAGTGTGAGAAACTCCTGCACCTCTCTCCTCTCCACCCTCCATCCTTTTCCTCTAATTTTTTTTTCCAAAATAAACCTTTTGCTCAGATTTACAACACTAAATTGAAAGGAAAATAAAGGATACAGACATTAGAATTACAGACATGAGAACACTAAGAGCATCATGATTTCAAATGACACACAGTAATATTTGACAGACACTGTCTATAGTGCATTTTTCTTGGTTTTGAAATAAAATGTATTGAACCCGGGACATTGTAGCTGACTTTGAAAGGTTAGTAGCAGCCTTTGACAGGTAAGATTTATGTATGTCATTATGACCCTGGGCTAGTAACTATGAGAGGCAAGAGGATTCAAAATGAAGTAGTCTTTTGATTCAAGCAGTGAATCTGGGGTGAAGGGGGAGGGACTAAAATAGACATCTGTCATTGGTAATGAGGCTCTGAAAGAGGCCAATAGGGTGCTGCAGGGATAAAGTTTTTTTTTTTTTTTTTGTAGGCAAAACCCAGAAATGAGTTAGTAGTTGTTTTTTTTTTTTTTGACTAGATGCCTGTAGATAACACTAGTTCAAGAAACACATTTTTACTAAACTGACAGTTTATAAAACTTTCACTAAACAGGTGGCTAAATTGAACAATAGAGGTTGTTGAGAATATTAAACGTCATCCCAGCGCACAGGAAAACTCATCTACTCACTAGTCCACTTTTATAGCCTCGTTTTGTTTATAATTGTGCTCTTGTAAACTACTCGATCTCAAATTTTCAGGGAAAATGTTTTTTTTTTTATAAAGAGTGAGAGTTGGTGGGAGCTTAAAGGAGAACTCCGGTGCAAAATGAACCTTTGGTCTAATTACACATTGTTACCTAGTCAACCGTTATCTGAGATTTGTTTTCATGATTGCCGAATGTAAATAGTTTTATCTCTAAAAAACAGTTTAGCCGATAACGCTAGTATAATGCTAGTATATAGGGGCATAGAGTAATGACAAATAAAAATCGCTTGTTATTACCACTAACAAGGCTCAAAATAGCCCCACACTATCACGACAGCACAATAAGGGTCCCTACATTCAAAACGAAGCATTGAGAACTTTGTCAGTGTCCATACAGTTTAATAAGAAGGTATTTTATACACACAGTCAACTTCGTGAATACAGGAAGAAGCCATCTTTGAAAAATAGTCTTTACCAGTTGATCTACGAGCGCCGATCCAAGTGCGCTGAACTGTGCAGAATATCATATGGTCCGTTGTTTCCAGAAGAAACACAAACACAAACCGTTTTCTTCTCTTCAATATGTACACGTAGCCTACTGTTCGCGCTCACCTTTTGACCTTATTCACATCTCACCAGCGCACTTGGATCGGCGCTCGTAGATCGACTGGTAGAGACTATTTTTCCAAGATGGCTTCTTCCTGTATTCGCGAAGTGTACTGTGTGTATAAAATATCTGCTTATTAAACTGTTTGGACACTGACAAAGTTCTCAATGCTTCGGTTTGAATGTAGGGACCCTTATTATGCTGTCGTGTTACTGTGGGGCTATTTTAAGGCTTTTTAGTGGTAATAACAAGCGATTTTTATTTGTTATTACTCTATGCCCCATATACTAGCATTATACTAGCGTTATAGGCTAAACTGTTTTTAGAGATAAAACTATTTACATTCGGCAATCATGAAAACAAATCTCAGATAATGGTTGACTAGGTAACAATGTGTAATTAAAGGTTCATTTTGCGCCGGAGTTGTCCTTTAATGGTGTTGATGTTTGTAGACTTTTTATTCCTGTATAGGCTTTAAAATGTATTAAACTAATAACAAAAATATGTCATAACTGCAGCACTCTATAGAGGCATGACAATATCACCATGTGCCTTAATTTGAGGTTGAAGCAATGGATATATCTATGTAGCCTTTGATAATTATTGATTCACATTACAGAGCTAGATCTATCATTTTATAAATAAAAATAACACTAGCAAGAAAGACACACTCAAAGGGCACAACAAGCAAACATAAACACAGGCCCTTTCTTAGCACACCAGTTATAACTTACATGCTTGCTATTCCAAGTCATTCTGTTCACTAACGTCTAAAGTTTCCTCACAGGAGACAACATTCCAGAGGCCCAAGCTGAATGACAGGAAGACGAAAGAAGATCAGAGCCAACATGATGAAATTACAAAGGGAAGAATAGACTTGACAGCCATTCAAGGGCATGGCATTTACCTGTTAGCAGTGCCAGGGGATTTTCTCGGTTTACTATATATATATATATATATATATATATATTTAAAATAAAACCAGTGTGCATTTACCCCTTTTTTATATCAAGAGATCTGAGGTTGTAATGTAAATGATCTATGAAAAGATGAAACCAAACAAATGTTTAACAAGTTTGAAATGGTGCTATTGGAAGGTTTATGGTCATTTGCATGTACACAACTGTTAAAAAAATGTTAAAAACTGCATTTAGTTGATCAAAAATACAGTACAAACAGCAATATTATTCCTGTGATGACAAAGCTGAATTTTCAGCTTTGTGTCTTCTGAAGTGCTCTCAGCTGAAGTGTCTTCACTTCACACTTCAGTGTCACATGATCTTATTAAAAATTTAATTAATAAATTGTTTATTAAAAATAACAAAAGTCTTTAACTGTCACTTTTGATCAATTTAATATATTCTCTCTGAATAAAAGTATAATTAAAAAATAAAATAAAAAGACTAAGATCTTACCCACCCCAAACTTCTTAATGGTAGTAGAGTAGTGCATACATATATATATATATATATATATATATATATATATATTCAGTTTTGATCTAAAAAAATATCATGCACTAAAATTTCAGAACTAGTATGTTCAATCGTAATTCTTCGATATCTGGAGTCCTTTCAAGAGAAATGTACAGTGTTCGCACACACACACAACCACACACACACACACACACACACACACAAATTAATGTAGACAGGCATGAGGACCTATAAAAACTTTGTGTGCCTTTTGCCCCTGAGGGCAAGCCAAGTAGGTCAGAATAACTGAGACCCTGTAGGAAGTACAAAGCGATGTCCCTTCATACTGAGATGTGTGTCGCTGAGATGTGATTTTCCATATCTGCCTACACACACAAAACCCCTCATTACACACACACAAAATGTACACTCGATTCTGTAATCATTGTCTCTCTAATAAGTATTCCAGTATAATCACTTATAATCACTATGCCAGTGTGAATGATGTTATTGTTTCATCACCAGCATCACAGGAAAACATATAAAAATATTAAAAGGCAGCCAAAAAGTATTTTGCCAGTAAAGTTTCAAGCCTTTTTTTGCAACTCTTGGTGTGCTGAACTCAGCAGAAAAGCAATTGAAAAATACACCATGAACAATTTTATTGACACAATGTTGCCATTTGACAAAAAAATACATCTGCCTTAATTCAATTTACACAGTGGCAAACACCCAAACACTGCAGTAAATCCAACTGAATCCAGATCCTTTAAAACGGTTTGGATTCTACTTTGGATTAATTGCTGTTTGATGATCCAGCTTACATTCATAACAATAATTCTCAAATGCTCACTCCCAATACTCATTGTGGTAACCCAGAAATCACTTTTCTGTATAAAGCTCCAGCTTTTTCATCCAACAGAAACGATGTTAGAGTGAAAACACAATGCAAGCCTGCTTTTGCATTGAAGCTGCAGTGCCGTTTGCATGCTGTTTATGCATTAGGTGTGAAACAGCATGAACCACATCTGTGGCTTGCTCTCACAATGGGCAATAGCAGGCAAGCGGAAAAAAATAGCACAAATGTGAAGCTTGTAATTTTGATAAAGACCTTTATAAATGAATAATATGTGTTAGTTGATCTGTAAATGTATGTCTAAATTGTCCTTTTGAGGTGGGACTACATTTCTTTGAGGTTTTTAATTTAATCTGGCATAACACTGAGCACTTCACACATGAATTACTCTGACAGCAAAGAACATTCAATAAAAAAAAATACATTTATCTGTTTTCTGGAGCATGTCACTGTCTAAAATCCCTGTTATCCTCTTTAACTATGGCCAGTGTTTGCTGAGGTAGAGCTCAGAGTTCAATATATGACAGATTCCCACATTTGACATCACAAACAGTTTCATCATACATATATTCTGTTCAAATGCATTTGCAAAGCAGCATTAAATTCAACAAGAATGTTTGTATTGCTCATCTATACACTATATGTACAGTGTACATGATGTGCATGAGTGGCTATTTTTATTGTTGGTTTGGAATGACCGTAATGAGTGAAATAAGGATTAAATACTTATATAAAAATGTAAGAAATATAGTATACAGTACCATTCGAAAGTTTTGGGGTTAAAGCTGCAGTACGTAACTTTTTTGGGTTAAAAATTATCCAAAATAAATTTTTAGAAAGTACATAACCAGCCAGTGTTCAAAATTATCTTCTTGGCTTAGCTCGATTCAAAACGGTAAGCTTGTAATAATGTTTTTGACTCGAAATGAGCCTTTGGTCTAATAAAACATTGGTACCTAGTCAACTGTTCTCTGAGATTTGTTTTCATGATAATCAAATGTAAAGAGTTTTATCTCTAAAAACTGTTTAGTGTATAACGCTAGCAATGGGGGCATTAACTAAGTAAAAAGAAATTGCTAGTTTATACCACTAGCAAGGCTCAAAATAGCCCCACACTAACACAGTAACATAATGAGGGTCCATACATGCAAAACGAAGCATTGAGAACTTTGTAAGTGTACAGACTGTTTAATAAGAAGATACTTTATAAAGACAGTTCACTTCACGTATACAGACAGGAGCCATCTTGGAAAACAGTCGCGACAAGTCAAACCACGAACGTCGTGCTCAGTGAGCTGAACTGTATGTTATTGTTAGAGTGGGGCTATTTTGAGCCTTGTTAGTGGTATAAACTAGCGATTTCTTTTTACTTAGTAAATGCCCCCATTGCTAGCATTATACGCTAAAGAGTTTTTAGAGATAAAACTCTTTACATTCGATTATCATGAAAACAAATCTCAGAGAACGATTGACTAAGTACCGATGTTTTATTAGACCAAAGGTTCATTTTACGCCGGAGTTCTCCTTTAAGCACATTTCATACACTATGTCAATTCAAAGTGCTTTACATTAAGGTTATTCAATTAAAATAATCACAAAATAAAAGCAAGGAAAATTAAATTAAAAGAGATGTATGGTGCAGTTATAAAATGAATTAAAAGAGTAAAAATATGATACGGTGTTTCATATTTTTCACAACTCTCAGTTTTACCCTGAGATTTTCCAATGGTGATTATCACCATGATCCATGGTGATTTCCCATGCCATTCTAATCCTTGTCAGTCTGAAGCATGGGACTGCTGGCTTGTTTTATTCAAGCAATTTACAGATTTGTTTCCTCTGGAGAAACATAAGGGATCTACATCTAGGGCACAATGGTGATACCCACTATCACATTGATTCTCTCAAATATATCCAGTGTCTGACTCACCTGGGCATCTGTGGGGGCGGAGCCTTGATCCGGCTGCTGTGGCTGGGCTGACGATGCACTGATGGTGACATTTTTGTCTGAGCGGCTGCTGCTGTCACGGCTATGTGATTTGTGCCGATCCCTGCTGCTGCGTTCACTGCACGAGAGAGACACACACAGCGACGGAGGTGAGGGAAACGCTGTCGCCATGGCGATGGGAGCAGGAAAACACACTCACACTAATGACAGGATAACCACCATCATCATTCTCCCTCTTCCTCCTCTCACTGACACGTGCTGACTTCCTCTAGCGCCCTCTCATCCATGCCCTAGCTGGAGCATCTGGTGCAAACTGGGTTAGAGGCAGTGAGCTGTGACGACCCTAATCCAAGCACAGCTTTCTCTCCCTCTCTCTCTGGCTCATTCCTGCCTTTTTAGTCATAGCTAATGTCTGGTAAGCCTTAGAATACAACAACACTGATAAACACACAAACAAATACGGCACTACTTCACACAGACGCTCTCTCTCACACACACACACACACACACACACATTCTATCAAACAGAAGCAGACATACTGTAGACGTCTCGCTCTGAGTAAATCTTGACATCAGCAAATAACTCTGCAAATATCTGCAAAGACAGCATTCGATCTCATGCTGTCGGTTTAACAATATACAGCAATGAGGCATGGAAATGATATTGTTGCAGAGACTGATGCTCGCTTCACAACCTAGCATCCTAACAGTTATAGAACCTCACAAAATAATGATTTGAAACACTCCCCATGTGCAACAAAATTCCCCACAAAAATAGTGCTGCACATGGAAAATTTGACTGTCAGTTTATTTCAATAGAGGTTGACGTTGGCATATTGATAAGCGAATGCAGGTAAACTAGGTTTTGGTGACGTCAGAAGATGCGTCTGGAATTTTAATATTTTGACTGGAGAAAACTAAACTATACCAGTGGCTTTTTAGCTAATAATTCACTACACAAAAGAAACTGTATCATGATACATTTTTTTTAAAGTTATTCATTTAACCATTGTAAAAACACTTAGTGTTATTTTAATTTCATTGATATACTGTTATAGTTTTGTTAATATTTTGATTAAGATTTAATTTTTATAATTTTTCTACATTTCAACATCTGAGTTATTATTGTTTTGTATTTGTCATGTATTGTATTTTTAAATCATGTATACCTGTATAGTTTATTTAGAGAAAGTTATTTATTTAATGATAAATTTTGCCTTGGCAACTAGCTGAAATAAAATGTTTCATTTTTTATATTTTATTTTATTTCAGTTCATTTTTTTTTGTTTTTCAAGACAGAATTTTTTTAAAGGTTTAGTTTTTGTATACTGTACTTGCACTGCACATGAGTACTACATTTTTTAAGTAGGCATTGCTTTTTTTGCATTCTGTGATAGGATGACCAAATTGGGAGCTTTGTCCTACGTCCAGGAAGACGTAAGCTGTGTCCCATCTTTGTACTGTATTTTCTTCTCTTACAATACTACAATAAGAAATACTAAAAATAAGATAGCCTTTTATCCATGTGCACAGCTGTATGCTATAGCTAGAGCGGGAAATTATCAACCAACACATTAGTAGAGAAGGATTTTTCCGCTGTTGACGACTAGACGGAGCAAAGGATTTAGTGTGGACCTCATAAAAAAACTTGTTAAATATGGCGACACCAGCCAGGACTTCATCTAGACACATTCTGGATAAGAACATCCTGAATAAACCTGCCAGATCCAACAAAAAATACAGGTTCAAGATGCACTGAATCTGGTAAAACTCCTTTAATGTTTGCATAGTCTAATAAAGGTAAAACAAGTTGCAACTCACGGAAATGTATTTCAGTATAAAATGTGATTTTTACCTGTTGGTCAGTTTATTATATTTAGCAGACGGAATGGGTTCTGTAGAGTAAATAGGCTACACTCTTCATTGGGGTTCATCACATTTTTATCATGCTGATTTTTGGAGGAGAAAAACTGAAATGGCACTCTTCGTGTGATATTGATTAACTACATAAAATGATATAAATTTTCTAACCCCCATATCTTGAATTTTGTGATCATTCCCATGCATTCAATACATTTTAGGGTCTTGATGTTTGTAAATAATATGAAATATTTAATCCGGAATCCGGAAAGGACAAAACAAATGATAATGAATGAACCCAAAAGGTTCCATATAGAACCTTTTTCCTGGTTACAAAGAACCCTAAAGGGTTCTTATTATTGAAACTATATAGAACCTTTTCTATATAGTCCCAGTCATTTTATCTCTCACACACGTGTCCTGCATTGTCCCGCAAAATCACACACAGTCCTGTAACAGAGCAATAACCAGGTGGTCACCCTAGTCTGTGACCCTATCAGAACAGATATGCGACCCACCAGCTGAGAACTACTCAACCATACTTTTCTAAAGTGACTCTCTGATTATAGATCAGAGAGTATGTATAAAAAGAATGCCTTATGAGGGTTAGAGAATTGCTTTAGTCTTACAAGGACTTCCAACTGTTAGGTTTTGGAGCTGGTTGACAGTTTATAAAGGTAGATGTTTTGATTAGCTAAAATAACTTTTATTAAAACATTAATTCCAATTCAATGCTCCAATGCTCCTGTTCTTTTACAGCTAGTCATCAGAGACCCCAACCCCTCTGTTGCTTTACTCTAATCCTGGACAGCCTGACGAGATTGTGTCGTATTATAGAACATCTACAGCTGAGCCTGAGGGACTAAGGCAAACAGCTGCTACAACACTCAACAAAGTACAAAGTTCAAGATTTGTGAACAGCCATGTATATGAACAATCGATTATTGAAAAAGTATATTGGTTTACCACTACTCTGAAATTTGGGGAGAAAGGTGGGTACTTTGGGTATGATGTGGGAAAATATAATTAAAATGAAATAAAAATATATATAAATTCTCAAGTAATATTTTCATATTTTCTTATACATATATATAAGTTCAAACACCTATTTAAATAGTTTAATAATAATAATAATTCAAAATAATATATTTAAATTTTTATTTTAATGAAAACTTTACCTGAAATTAGGTTTAAACCTCAGATCTTTACCTGCTACACCACACCATATTCTATAATTGTTCTCCCTTTTTGATTTCAAGACTAAACTTCTTTATATTTGCTTTTAATAGTGCTAAAGGTCTTGGCATTGAATTCCCAAAGAGATTCTTTAAAAATGCAACCAATGAATAATAAAACAAATTATAATAATAAAACAGCCCCTTTTCCCAGCAGTGCAGATCTACACGACTTTGTGTGTATTGCAGTATTGCAAATACCCTGCAGGAAGCATGGGAATGTAATTAGAAGTTATATAAACTGGGTGTTGAGGCGGAATGGGAGAGGCAGTGTGATAGCCCTTAGTGAAACACTGAGGTGTCCGTCTCCACCCAGGCATTATAAATGTGTGTAGATGTCAAATGTAGAGCTCAGCTTCATTTGGAAATTGGGCAAAAAACAAATGTAATCCTGCCCACTGAGCCAAGGGAAAGTGCCCAGACCAGTGTATGCTATATAGACAGACAGAGAGAAATGGGCAGTCTGAAACTGGTGTGTGAAAAATTAAGTGAATATGTTTTAAATAAACTTTCATTTCCACATCTTTCACGGACCATTTCTGCCATGCAAAAGAATGAGTACTAAACGGGCACGATTAACGTAAGAGATGATCGAATTCATCCAAAAATAGTTATTCACTGATAGGAGTATTAACGAAAGGAAAGAGAGATACACAAGTAAAAAGTGGCAGGGCATTTGAAATCCAACAGAACAGACTGATCTCATGAAGTAGCGTGTGTATGACACGCCAATTCGTATTTCCATTTTTGCCGTGCTATCAAGACGCATAATCGCTTTTCAACGTGTTTATAAGCGCCGTTGACTTAACGTTATATAAATATATTACCTCAACCCCATCCCTAAACTTAGCCGTCACTGGGGTTAATGGCATTTATGACTGGACATTTGACTGCGTGTACAGACACGCGGAATGACGCGAACGTTAATGGCGTAGACGTACACGCATACACGCGGATAGCACAAAATGCGTAGAGATAACACGCCACTTGACTCGAAAGTGGCGTGTATGTTTACGCAAAAGTCATGATGTCATGTTGAACAGAAAGAGGACATGCATTTGTGGCTTTCTCATTGAAGATGCATACATTCCACAGGCCTGTTTGGGACTTTCATTTAAGTTTTTTTTTTACAGGAAACCTAACAACAGTGAAGCTCAATAAATAACTTCCTATTTACAGTGGGTGGGGTCAAAACAGTCCAAATCTGTGAGTAAAAAGTCATACAAGCTTTAACAATTATGTATGATAGGAAACCACTCAAGCAATCTCACAATTGTTGCGCACCCAAACTAAAATCTTGAAGTTCAACCGAGCAGGCCTTATTTTGTTTGTTTAAATGCATCTAGAATTACACAAATAGAGTCTTCATCTTAATGTGAGCATATTTCATATTAATTATTTTTGTGAGACTAGTATTTATTTTTAATCAAGAACAATTACTGAGGGAGCCATTGACCAAGAATATTCTTTAATGTGTTATGCCACTGATTATCTTTTCAAAGTAATAATTTAGAATCATCAGAGGCAAATTCTCAATAATTTAATCTGAAAGTAATTAAAGACATCCCGTCACTAATGAGCAACAGAATCATTCAACAGACAAATTCACTTAATTTGGTTATTACAGTTGAAGCTTGAAATAAATAGAAAATCTTTTCATGATGATAATTTTAATTTTCTGCATGAATAAATCTGCAAAATAACCAAGAGAGGAGGAAGAGAGTATGATGTGTACTGTATGCATGTGTATGTGAATGCACATGAGGTGGTTCAGCCCTTTACCTCTGTTTGTTTGACCCTCGTGACCTATTGGAGTGGTGGGAATAACCAGAGTGGATGGAATCCGTGTCCATGGCAATACTGTCTGTGTTGTGATTGGTTTAACACAGCAGAGGGAGGAATCCAGAGACAGTGAAAGTGCAGACGATGATCAGGACATACATGAAGTTGCGCAAGATGACAGGATCGTCTCTAGGGGCTTTCTGTCATCAAGCATTAACCTAAAGAGAGAAAGGAAAAGATTTTTTTTAACAAACTCCTACCTTCTACCTTACACCGCAAATACAATACAATCATGTTACTGTATAATAATGTATATTATTGAATTCAGAGCTCTTATAAAGGTCAGGGCTATCACAAGCCAGTAAAAAAGAACTGCAATACAGTGCAGTCTGGTTCCAGAGATAAAAATCCCATTCATTTTCTTCATAGAAGAATAATTTATTATAAATAATGTATTGTTAAGACTGCAAATTATCAAGTTAGTCTTCCAACACTCTCAATTTAATAATAAAAAATCTTCAAATTTGTTAACCACAAAAAAAAACCACTTAAAACTCGACCTAACAGCCATCCTTTCGTACTTCTTTTTACATTGCTTTCCTCCAATACAGTGACAACAAATGTAGACAACAAGCATCAAGCCCAAGGTGCATTTGGTTTAGTACTGCTCAACTTTAACCAGTTCAGAAGCCAAACTATTTATTTATTTTTTTTGCAAAAAACACATTTCCTTTCCGCTTCCTCCATCCTAGCTGTAATATATCTGCTAGTGATAAATTATTAAAGAATGGAAGGTATGATCCTTAGGATATCTACTGTAGTTCATCATTACCATTCAGATATTCCTTTTCATTATATGCCCTATTGCCTGCTCACTTGAACTCTTGTGGAAGCTATTTTTCTTAGCCATTCTGTTCTGTTTAAGCCTTTTTGGTCCTTATTTCTTCACCTTCACTGCACTGACTGTTGGTTGCTCGGTTTCATGGCATTGCTTTAAATGTGATCTTTGAACTTGCGAGGCTACACCACTGCAAAGCAGACATATGCATTTCCCCACACAACTCAATCACATTTAGCCAGGCCTCATATCTGGCCTGGTAATGTTACTCATAAGCCCTGAACAAAAACATAAACAGTTATTCTGGTGGAAAAAACTTTTGACATCAAACTGAGAGTGAGAGTCTCGCTAGCAAGCCAAGAGTATCAAGGCTCTATACTTAGACTTCCAGCACGGACCTTGTGCATTGATTTATCCACTCATAAATTACTCATTTGAAGTGCACACAAGTTCTAGTGCCACCTGCCATCTCAAAGAAAACAACCGACACATCAGTAGACACACACACACACTTACACTTATAAGAGGATTTACAGGTCTAAAAATTTGATCACAGCATGGCACAGCAAATTTATTCCATCACAAGTCACTTGCATTAAATCATCATGATGGAATTAAAGTCTGCATTATTCTTTCTTCCCTTCACTTCCTGCCAAATGCACAAAGTTTGGGAGCCTCAAATAACTCATTTAACTCTTGGAGTTTTTGGCATGGTAATAAATAAGGACAATTTTGAAGCGGCAAGCAGTGTGGGGCCGAGAGCCGTGGGAAAGGAGCGATTCCGGTGGCACGCATGCTAATGAGTGTCACCTGTGAGGATATACGGAAGGATAAAAGGAGGAGTGATGACAGTACAAGACGAGAGAGGACCAGGCCAGGATTGTTGATGTTAATTTATAGGGGAGTCGTCTGTGATGGGCTGCCGCTTTACTTTCGTTTTATTGTTTGTTTATTTTGTCTAATTTTGTAGAACGATCACCCCATCCCGTCTCACCCTTCCCTGAGCCTTAAAGGAGAACTCCGGCGCAACATGAACCTTTGGTCTAACACATTGGTACCTAGCCGACTGTTCTCTGAGATTTGTTTTCATGACAATCGAATGTGAAGAGTTTTATCCCATTTAATAAGTAAAAGGAAATCACTAGTATATACCACTAACAAGGCTCAAAAAAGCCCCACATTAACACAATAACATAATGAGGGTTCCTACATGCAAAACGAAGCATTGAGAAATTTGAAAGTGTACAGAAGATACTTTATAAAGACAGTTCACTTCGTGTATACAGACAGGAGCCATCTTGGAAAACAGTCTCGATAAGTCGAACCATGAACGACATGCCAAGTGAGCTGAACTGTATGAAGTTCAGCGAACTTCTAAATTCTATGAACGCCGTTCGTGGTTTTCCAATGCTTGTATATGCGAAGTGGACTGTCTTTATAAAATATCTTCTTATTAAACTGTCTGTTAAACTGTCTTCTTACAATACTGCTGACCAAGTATTTAAAAGTTGAGGAGCATGCTCATTGGCTACTGATACATCAGCTGTGCTTTATAGAATGATGTGACTGCAAGCTGATTTAGTTAAGGACCTATCAGTCTGCACCATCTAGAGTTCAATGACAGAACATTGCCTCTCTTGATGTTTTGCAGACTCTGCTCTGGATAAGTGTTTTGGAGAAGGCGTGGCTTTGAAGAACACTCTGAAGGGAGGTTGGGATCGAACGTTTTTAAAGCTAGCTTGCTATTGCTAGTCTCTGCAAAATTGCCTAGCCTACATGTAATCAAAATTCACCACGCTATTCATTGAAAATATTAACTCTAAAGGCATTCTATAAGCCTATCAACATCTGTATAGGTATTCATACCATCCCTTTTGAAATCAGAAGAGAATGATAGTAAACTTTGTACTGTATATACAATTGTTTTGAACATGTTGTTTACCTTAAATGGGATGATAGACTCAATTGCAGGTTTATCTAAGAATTTACAGGTAATTTACGGATAAACTATGTTTCTGATCAATGCGTGGTATGTGAGTTTGCCAAGATACCACTGACCACTTTTAAGTCCTCATTTCTCTTATCAATGGGAGAAATCTGACCTGGACATGCACACATAACATTCCTCTGGGGTTACCTCATAGTGCCCTGAAAACACGAACGCAAACACACACACACACACACACACACACACACACACACACACACACAAAGAATTCCTCTAAAGTTACTCCTTGTACACTCATATGGACTAACAGAAAGTGTATCAGGTTAGGGAAGCTGGGGGCTTAGCATTTTCAAGTTAACATTTTATCCTATCATAAAGGAGAAGAAAGCAATTTTAGCCAAATGTTTTACAACTTTTTTGGTTTCACTCATCTTATCTCAGTTGTAACAAAGTGTGTCAATCCATTACTATTCTGGAGACAATTCAAGGGTTGCTGAATATTTCACAGGGCAGCATAGAAATAAATCTCTCTTGTAAAAAGCAGGAATGCAAGGTTTTGAACACTTTGAAACGTGATCTGTCAAGAGGAACTGTCTAGGCTGTTTAAATCTGAAATCTGAAATCTGGGATACACACAGATTCCCAATTCAGGGTGAATAGTTGTCTAATCTTACCAGACATGCTCTATTGACTTTAATTAGTTTTCAGATAAACAATAAATAGGAGAAACGAACTGCAGGCATGTTCAGATTTTTATAAATAATGACATTAGATACATGTTTATCACTTGTATTTCAGATATATTTACCATACATCTCAGATTCATATTTATCAAAAATTCTAATTTGCACATAGAAAAGAACAACAAAATCTTTCAGTATTCTTTAAGACTGTACATTGATTTGTGAAAATAAAAATCTCTTATGTGCTTTTTTTAACATCATAAAACATTAAATCGTTAAAACATTCTTCAAAATATCTTCTGTCTGGGCCCAGTTCTCAAATCGTAATATTAGTCTAGATCTGGGCCTCAGTTTATTTCATTCTGGGCCTCAGTTCACCATTACATTCACAAGAATTTCATGGCTCTGAACATCTATAGTGTTTGAAGTGAATACTGCAATAAATGTCGAAATTTTCCTTCAATTACCAGTGACCTTCAATTTCATTCTGTCTGTCACACATTGCTTATTGTATGGCTTCACAAGAATTGGAAGACATAGTATGAGTCACATTTATAATATTTTTGTGCCTTTCAAAATCTCCATTCCCTATTTATTGTACTTTTATTGGAAATGAGTAGCCAGCATTATTTAAAAAAAATATTTTGTGTTCTGCAGAAGAAAGTAAGTCATACGCTGCAGAAACAGTGGCATATTTTAACGTGAGCTGATGGACAGTTGCTACTAGAGCATATAGCCAGAATGTAGTGCTAACTGGAGCAGGAGAGTCCCTGGAGGCTTTTACATTTAGCCATCAAAACTCAGATTTTCACAGCCATTACACCTACAGCGCTAAGACACACTTCATTTGACAGAGAGGCCCACTCAGCCAACATAGCCTTTAACATATGTTCAAAGCGCTGAGTAATGCATATCATATACACACATGTAGAAACACACATGCACACAGAAGACTTTCACATTTGCCCTAGAGGCAGTCGTAGATGATCAAAGGCAGAACAATAACATTTCTTCACCTTACTAAACAAGAATACAAGACAGGCAGAAAGACAGAATCAGAGACCAGAAAGAACGAGAGTGAAGGGGGGAGGGACAACGAGAGTGAAAGGGACAGAATCAGAGAATAAAATGAACTCTATACTTCAGATATGCAAGCGTGACTGACACATAAACTGACATATATTAATGCATATAGAAATAAAATGCATGTATGTACATATATACATATCTGCAAAATCAGCTAATCTTAAATTCACCATATTTTTTATGGAATATGGTAGGCTAGTGTTAATTATAAGTTATTTATCCATGCACATCATTATTTTATTTTTGTTCACGTTCGCTCTTAATCTTTAATCAATGTAACTTCCCCTCCCTCTCGCAATAACATATCTTCTCTTGGCATTTTCAGCATGAGGGCAGAACAACCAATCACTCGCATGAAATTGCTGCAATATAAACCATAACCGACGATCCAATCGATTCCTGATGGACAAAATCATGTCCCGCTCCTATATTTTTCCTAGTCTTCACTCACACATCACAATAAGGAAGAAAAAACTATAGCATTGCATGCTTTAAATTTAGCATTATCCATTTAAAAAAAAAAATCCATTTCAATTCGGCTCATATGGGTGGCACATGTTTGATTCTGGCCTGCAAGAATACCATTTCTCCCCTTTCCTATCAAAATCCTGCCACTAATTTTAATCTGTAAGTTAAAATGTAAATACCCCAACATAAACCCAATTTCAAAATAAATAGAAATTACACAACGATTAATGTTCCCCCCTTGTCATGTCTTCAACACACACTGGCTTTTCTCCAAGACTAGAGGTTTCCCTAAGGAATTCACATCACAGAAAATGTAAATACCATGTTTGTGTATGTATATTATGGTGAAATGGACAGAGAAGGAGAGGCACAGTGAATAAGACTACAAAATAGAAAAAAAAATGCATTATAGAGCCTTCCTCACTTTAATCTGGGCGTTGAGGCCAGATGGAAATTAAATAATTGTGTCAGACATTGGTAGCTCTATATTTAGCCAGCACAATTCACAGAGCAGCTCTCTTTCTTTCTAACTGTCAATGCAGTATGTCTCTGAGGAGTAGATGTGGGGAAACCACCATACCCACACACAAAGTAGTCAAAAACATCACAAAAGGTGTGTAGTCCTCATTTACTAGATGGCCTTTTATTCATATGTTCCTATTTCATTCACTTCATTCTTGTGAAACATCCAACTCTCACACTTGCTATACGCCACAGTTTTACACCAACTATCACTCTGGACAATACTCAAAAGTAGGTGTTTGAATGTGCAGTATGTATACAGAATAATGCTGGTTTATATGGCAATATTTATATTTGAAGTTGAACCATCCAAATACTTAAAATAAAAGTGTAACTAACAAGAAACTAGCTATTTTAAGAACTGATTATTGATTATATTCCATGACTGAAAGGCCACCGACGCTGGCCGGATCGCCCATCGTCTTTCCAATCGGTCTTCATCTCACTGTAAAAACACCACATGCTTGTGTGGTTACCATTGTAATTGCAGCTAAGGCCAATATTAGCTCTTGAGGCATTTTACTGTAAGGCTTCCCTGTCATAAGCGTTTTTAACGCTCTAGTGTGCTGTTTGAAGAAGCCTTTGCTAGAAGTGTTCTCAGGTCAACATATGTTGTGATAGACAGTATAACTATGTAATTAAAACTAAATGTGATTGAGTTTCTGAATGTCTTATCAAGTCCAACGTTTTCAGGCTCCATGTGTTTCCGTGTTCTTCCCTGCTTCGCCGAGAAAAAAAAAATTAAGCAAGAAATATTAAACATAAGAAATGATCCCATTTTAAGACATGTGGGTGGCAAACGTGTGTGTAGCAATAGAAATATGGTTTATAAATACATTCCAGGTACTCAAACAACAATGTGGGAGACCTGTTTCTTTGTGGTGTTCTTGAGATAAAGTTTAGTGTTATTTTAGTGCATGTGAACATCAAACTTTTAGATAGGTCAATGAATAATTTATGCGCTGTCAGATATAATATTCAGAGTTGAACTGACAGATTAAAAGCCAGAGTTTGCAATTGCAAGTGAGAGTTGTGTTGTTCTCTGATGTGCAAAAGACAAAAAAAGTCTGCTTTACAAGAAAGACTGCCTCTTTGCTTATTTCTAGTGCTTTAAGAAGAGAAACACGCACTTCCACAGACCTATCACCTATCAGACAGAACAACACAGCATACAACACATCAGAAATGCACATGCTGTTAAAATACAGTCAGGTCCATAAATATTGGGACATTGACACAATTCTAATCTTTTTGGCTCTATACACCACTACAATGGATTTGAAATGAAACGAACGAGATGTGCTTTAACTGCCGACTTTCAGCTTTAATTTGAGGGTATTTACATCCAAATCAGGTGAACGGTGTAGGAATTACAACAGTTTGTATATGTGCTTCCCACTTTTTAAGGGACCAAAAGTAATGGGACAATTGGCTGCTCAGCTGTTCCATGGCCAGGTGTGTGTTATTCCCTCATTATCCCATTTACAAAGAGCAGATAAAAGGTCCAGAGTTAATTTCAAGTGTACTATTTGCATTTGGAATCTATTGCTGTCAACTCTCAATATGAGATCCAAAGAACTGTCACTATCAGTGAAGCAGGCCATCATTAGGCTGAAAAAACAAAACAAACCCATCAGAAAGATAGCTAAAACATTAGGTGTAGCCAAATCAACTGTTTGGAACATTCTTAAAAAGAAAGAACGCACCGGTGAGCTCAGCAACACCAAAAGACCCGGAAGACCACGGAAAACAACTGTGGTGGATGACCGAAGAATTCTTTCCCTGGTGAAGAAAACACCTTTCACAACAGTTGGCCAGATCAAGAACACTCTCCAGGAGGTAGGTGTTTGTGTGTCAAAGTCAACAATCAAGAGAAGACTTCACCAGAGAAAATACAGAGGGTTCACCACAAGATGTAAACCATTGGTGAGCGTCAAAAACAGGAAGGCCAGATTACAGTTTGCCAAACAATCTAAAAAAGCCTTCACAGTTCTGGAACAACATCCTATGGACGGATGAGACAAAGATCAACTTGCACCAGAGTGATGGGAAGAGAAGAGTATGGAGAAGGAAAGGAACTGCTCATGAACCAAAGCATACCACCTCATCAGTGAAGCATGGTGGTGGTAGTGTCATGGCTTGGGCATGTATGGCTGCCAATGGAACTGGTTCTCTTGTATTTATTGATGATGTGACTGCTGACAAAAGCAGCAGGATGAATTCTGAAGTGTTTCGGGCAATATTATCTGCTCATATTCAGCCAAATGCTTCAGAACTCATTGGAAGTCGCTTTACAGTGCAGATGGACAATGACCCGAAGCATACTGCTAAAGCAACCAAAGAGTTTTTGAAGCGAAAGAAGTGGAATGTTATGCAATGGCCAAGTCAATCACCTGATCTGAATCCGATTGAGCATGCATTTCACTTGCTGAGGACAAAACTGAAGGGAAAATGCCCCAAGAACAAGCAGGAACTAAGACAGTTGCAGTAAAGGCCTGGCAGAGCATCTCCAGGGATGAAACCCAGCGTCTGGTGATGTCTATGCCTTCCAGACTTCAGGCTGTAATTGACTGCAAAGGATTCGCAACCAAATATTAAAAAGGGAAAGTTTAATTTATGATTGTTAATCTGTCCCATTACTTTTGGTCCCTTAAAAAGTGGGAAGCACATATACAAACTGTTGTAATTTCTACACCGTTCACCTGATTTGGACGTAAATACCCTCAAATTAAAGCTGAAAGTCGGCAGTTAAAGCACATCTCGTTCGTTTCATTTCAAATCCATTGTGGTGGTGTATAGAGCCAAAAAGATTAGAATTGTGTCAATGTCCCAATATTTATGGACCTGACTGTACCTGTGCTAATTTGTTACTAACACAACACTAACTCAAGTTTAAGTACTTTTTTAGGTTTCACAATCACAATTCATTGATATGAGGTTCCAACATCATTATCTGGCCTAGATTATCTGGCAGTAGTTTCCTTAAGGAAGAGACCAAGAATAGAGTCCAGAGATGGGAATTTACATCAGACTTGAGCAGTGTGATTCTATGTTGAACGAACGTGATTACACCAGGCACAACATTCCAACCAACCAATCAGATTTGAGGGACAAGTTTACAGTCAAATTTAGGCTTACATCAAGGGTTAGGTGCTTCAGCGTTTTTCACGTGACATATGCCTATCATTTAAGCTGATTTCAGGGATAAGTTATAAGTAGAGTTAGGTTTAAGGGGTAGGGATGGGTTAGCACTAAATATTTGCACAGGAATGTTGTTCCAGGTTCAAATATGTTGACGCATGAACATGTCTTACTTGGCAAAATCACAGTAATTCGCCTACTCAATGCATGTCACTTGATAAGCAAGTCAAGGAGCATGTTACAGACCACATTTTGACAACTTGCAGTTAAGTACGGACACCTGTACCTGAAGAAAACTGTAGCCTATGTTTTATGGCCAATACAATTAATTCACATCATCTTTTTGGAGAGATGCTCTGACTAAACAAGATAGCATTGTAAGATGCTCTTACAACAAACATTTGTTATCCCACACTTACAAATAGAGAACAAGTCAGAGAATAATGTGAACTTAAAAAGTAAACTCAGCCAGCAATCATAATAAGCACATTCAGAAGTGTTTGTCGCCTCGCCTGTATAAAGGAGAATACTGCAGACCCATGCACCCTTTAAAAGATAATCAACCCCACCCCTTTTTTGTCATAATTATATGAGTTATACCTTATAAACAAAAGAAAGGAAATTAGTCACTCAGAATTAAAGTTAAACAAAAGCATAAATTTACCCTCTGGCGGCACCTAATCCAACGTAATTCTTTACGCAACGTAAAAAAAGGCAATGATCTGTTTCATTCCTGCAAACCGTTCGCTGTTTCCATTCGCACCACGCATTCAAAACAAAAATGATCCGCTTTGATATTGAACATATATTCGTTTCATTTTGCAATAATAATTTCGAGTGCAACCCCGCTCAGCCTAAGAACACTCTGTGACGAAGAAAAGAAACGGGAACCGCAAGTCATAAATCGCATGTAGCTCATGGGCGTAAATGATAGCATTGGAAAGACCGGTTCATTTGAAAGAATCGGTTCGTTCGGACGGTTCATTTCAATAGACAGGTTGAAATGAGATTCACCAATTCGTTTCACAGCACATAGTGCTCCAGTTCAGAAGCAATAGCATTTTGATGTTAAATTATAACAGGTTTGTTTTAGCTGCTGGCTGGGAGACCAGCTGAACACCAGCTTGGCCAGGCTGGAACACTATCTTGACCAGCCTGTGTGACCAGATTAGTCCAGCTAGCTACTTATATTTCATATGATTTTTCTTTTTCAATTCTGTGGTCATTCCATGGTTAAATGTTATCATTATATCACTTTCCCCAACTGTAAAACTATATTTAGTTCCGTCTTTTTTATGAAATGTTTTGTCAATCCATTCCTTTGCTCTGCTGCTTCGAGAATTGGTTCCACGGAAAGGTTCAAATGACTCGGCTCAGAAGAACAATTATATTGCGAATCGGACATCTCTAGTCATGGATACACCAAGGAATGCCAACCATGTGCTTTAATCACTGCCTCAAATGCATCCGATAAAACAACAAAGAAATATATAAACAAGCACTCTACGTGGTTCGAGCGTGATCGACCCAGAGGCATTTTTGGAGACGACTCGATGCCACGAGACACGAGATTAATGATCATATTAAGAAGTCACTGCTGCACAATACGAAAATGTATTTTTTTTTTATTATAAGAGGAAATGTTACAGAAAAGCATCACAGGTCCTTCTATAATAGCATCGATATAGTCTTATTAGTATGAATTTTCACAGTGCATTTTACGGGTTAATTCGTCTAGTCAGAAGCAATAACGATTTTCGTTGTAACCCTGTCATAAGGACTATAATCAATACTCTGTATGAGCAATGACTTAAACCTGTCATTTTAAAGACAGCAGCTGGGCGTGAGAACTTTATCAACATGCATTCCTGTGTCCTCTAACGCCAAAAGCTGATCACTTGTATTTAGATCAATGCAGTGAGCACAAAAGAATAGACAATAGGTAGGCTAGTAGAAACTTACCTATAGTGGTCACGCCAACATCCCCGATAAAATGATCCGATGGTCAATACACTGCCCAGATTTACCCACTTTCATGCATTGCTACAATCTGACTGCAGTAATGATAGTATCCTTTACAGGCGGAGCACACATATGATACACTTTGGCAGAAGAGGTGGAGGGACTGAGACTCATTACAGTGTGCAGCGCTAGGGGGAGTTATCGCCTCTAATTAGACGCACGCCAGTACTACACACACACACACACACACACACACACATGCACATCTGTATCAGTCTGCATGTATAGTACTTAGAGGCGATAGATGATATAAGCTATGTGTGTGTGTGTGTGTGTGTGTGTGTGTGTGTGTGTGTGTGTGTGTGTGGTGTGTGTGTGTGTGTGTGTGTGTGTGTGTGTGTGTGTGTGTGTGTTCACGTATAAGTTATTATTATTATTATTATTATTTAAATGTTGTATATGAACACTTCTATTTGTCTATATTTGTTGTTAGTATGCATTAGTGGGGGATTTACCAGGAAGTGACTCTTCCTGCAATGCACATCGTTACACCAGCAGGTGGCGACAAGTGAATTTCTTTAAGAGTGAGTCATTAAATGACCGTTTCATTCAAAGGATTTGTTCAAACTCACTTCTTAAAGGGTGTGTTCACCCAAAAATAAGAGTTCTGTCATCATTTACTAAACCCCCATGTCGGTCCAAATCCATACGACTTTCATTCAAAATAAAATCTTGAGATTTTTGTCCCGTTGTGTGTGTGTGTGTGTGTGTGTGTGTGTGTGTGTGTGTGTGTGTGTGTGTGTGTGTGTGTGTGTGTGTGTGTGTGTGTGTGTGTGTGTAAGTGTTAGTATTAATAGTAAGTGTTAGTATTAATGGGTCAAGTTTTGCTGGAGATGAAGATGGCTATGACTCGGTTTGTTGACTTGCAGAACGCAAGCTTCTGGATGTAGGTCTGGAGTAATGAGTTTAGGTATAGGGGTGCAGAGCCAGTGGTTGTTCTGTAGGTAAACCTCAGTGCTTTGAAGTGCTAATCAATGTTTCAATGGAAGGACAGAAATCTCTCAGATTTCATTAAAATATCTTAATTTGAGTTCCAAAGATAAACAAAACTCTTACGGGTTTGGAACGAATATGTTAAGCATACATGTTAAATGTTTGATTTTTCGGTAAACCATTTAATTTAATCTGGGAACAAAACAAACTAAACACCTGTGTGTTGCTCTGAGGTACAATGGTTGGCAGTTGTGCCAATTAAAATGGCAATTGTGTCTAAATTGTAAGTTACTCAATATTAACTGCTATTGAACTGTTGAATAAAAGCAGTGGCACATTGTAACCTCGGTTTGATTCCCAGTGACCTAAGGTGTTATGCAGCAACATGTAAGTGACGCTAAAGGGCACCTAAAACGTCAAATATTGAAGCATGGTCAAAGGTGACGCCTTGGGGTGAGAATGCGTTGACAGCACTCAATTGCTTATGTTAAACAGGTCCCATGATATATTTATCTTATATCCATATCTACAAACCTCTGTCTGTCTCTCTTTCTCTGTTTCCTTTACATCTCTCGGTCTCCAGTCTTTACTGACTACAGCTATCATACATACCCCATAAAACCGATGAAGCGAGAGAGATGCAGAGAGAGCTTTTTACCGCTCCATCCCCCACTTTCCCGTCCACTTAAAGCTTTTTTTTCCCCATTGTTCATTCACCAAAGTAAGGTTGTTTGGTTATTGTTGTCATAACAAAACAAAAGGACGAATATTTTATAGAATATTCTGGAGGTTTGAAAATATAGCATAGACATTCAATATAGGCCTACTTAAGAATATCCCAGACCCTACAAATACACATAGGCCTATTAGCCTATATTGGTACGGTTCTTTATTATAGGCCTAAAGACATGTTATCTGTGTATTGAGAACAGAGTTGAGTTATTCTGTAATAGTCACTTTTATGAATGTATCAGCTAAATGACTGCTACAGTTGTGTACTGAGAAGTTGATTTTGATACTGAGAACATGTTTAGAGTGATATAAAAGTCCTTATTTCTTTCTGGCAAAACAGGTATCTTTGCTTTTGACACATGATGTAGCTGAATGTGGATGCTTTATTTTGGCTGGTTCAGACAGACACAGTTTTTGCTTTTGTTTAAATCAATATTTGCGCTATTTAGCTAAATTAATTCATTAAATAATTTTATAAAATGTAATTACAAATAATAGGCCTGTCAGCATAAAAATTGTAGTTAAGTAAAATTCACGTCACAGGTTTTCTTATTTAATAAATGACCAAATAAAGGTTTAAAATCTCAAACGTGTCTTTGTGTCTTATTTATCAAGATTTGTTAAAACATGACAGTACTTTACACTTAGAAGACTGTGTACACTTTACAAAGAAAAAAACACACATTTAAAAACACCTCACTGACCAATAGGGGGCGGCAACGACTTTCATTACAGTTTTGTATTGGAAGTCAGACTTCTCTTTGGCAATTTACTGTAAAACAAAACCACTGCAGTTGTTAGTTGAGAGATAAAGAGATTATATTTGCCTGTGAACACACACACACACACACACACACACACACACACACACACACACACACACACACACACACATACAGGCATATGTGGTTTATGAGGTCAATGTGACTTTTTAGTGGTTTACGGGGACACACCTTTCCCAACATCCAATCGACATGGAAGTTGTGTCAAAAATTTTTTTTTGATCTACAAAAAACAAACCATGCTTCAAAATAGCAATTTCACTTTCACAACACACAAATAATAATAATGTGACATTTCACAGGCTTATGGGGTCCATGCCGATTTGTGGTTTATGAGGCCACTCTACAGAAAACACACAAACCTAGCCTCATCCTGGTTTAAGGGGACTGACAAACATTACTAGGTCTACATACGTGTAACATCAGTTTTCTCTGTTATTGAAAGAAGAGTATTCATGACAATAGCACAGCTCAATTTCACAAGCGGTCAAAGGTTTTCATTTTTTTTTAAACAAGTCTCTTCTGCTTTCCAAGGCGGCAGTAAATATTATTATTATAAGTATTATTTCAATTTAAAAGTTATTTATGTATAACCTAAAACAATATGTGTAAAAAAAATATTTTGTAACAATGTCTATGACAATTTGAATAAAAGTATATATGTATATATATATATATATATATATACACACATACATAGTACTTTTGAATGTAGTTTCCACAAAATAAAATGACTACTGTAATGATGCTGAAAATTCAACTTTCAATCATAGGAATAAATTATAATTTATGGGGTCCATAAATTATATATTTAAACTATATTCACATTAAAAAAAGTTTATTATAAATTGAACATATTTCACAATATTACGTTTTCTATTGTATATTGTATTTTTGATAATTCAATTAATTCAAATTCACAATGCAATGATGATATTCTTGGATATTTGAGAAAACGAACAGAATTTTTGGATCAGTGTGCCATTTGGGATGTAAAAATATATTTGCAGATATTTAAACATGTATTTAACAAAGTACCAACAGATTGCTAGAATGCTAGACATACTGAAAAATCAGGCTATGAACTATAAAAGTTTAGTGCTTTAATTAATGAATTCATTAATAATAATTTAAAATATACACATATGCATTTACCAATGAGTGAGTGTTTGATTGTTTAGTTCAACTAATTCAGACGACTGATTCATTAAAGAATGAAGGCAAGTGACTATCTTTATGAATGGATCACTGAATCATTGAATTGAATGATTCGTTCAAAATGCTGAATCATTCAGTTAAGAAACACCACTGTGTGTTGCTCAAAGATGCGTGACTGTTCTGCAGAGTGACTTTTTTTTTTGGAAGTAATTTAAAATGTATTCTAATTTAAAAGTGTAAGTCACTCATTGCAACTTCATGTATTGAATGAATAAAATCATTTCAAATCTGCAATC